TAACTTTAAAGGAAGACACTTTTTGACTGATGTAGACCTACTGCAAAAATAAGTGGAAGAATTTGAAAAATCTATTCATGGGTTGTTAGACCATTAGCAAGTTTTGTAAGTTTTAGGAGGGGGGCATTGCACCTCAATTAGTGGAAGCATCAGAATTACCTGAGTCATAGGTCTTCCCATGGGACCATTGGGGAGTTAATGCTGTGGACCCAGATGTCAGAGGCATGAATTGCACTTCACTAGACTTCTTAGAGCTTCAAGATACTCCTTACGGAAATAATTATTTAAAGCTTCTTTTCTTAGGTTCTCTGTCCCCTTTTCAATTTCATTGACCCAAAATTAATCATTATTTTTATTAGGTTGAAAACATGGCTTTGAATAGCTTGTATAGTTTGGTCCATTTACATAAAATTACATAGGTAATTACAAAATTACATATAGATGCAAAGAGAAATGTCTTTACATAGATGCAAAGAGGACAGTCACTGAAAATGTTAAAAGTGATTCTTTTTTTTATTTTTAGCTTTATTGGGGAACAGTGTGTTTTTCCCAGGACCCACCAGCCCCAAGTCAAGTCGTTGTCCTTCAATCTTAGTTGTGGGGGGCGCAGCCCACCATCCCATGTGGGAGTTGAACGAGGAACCTTGTTAAGAGCACACCATCTGAGCCACCCAGCCTCCCAAAAGTGATTATTTCTTAATGGTGGATTTAAAGTGATTTTTACATCATTTTTTGCTCTTTTCTCTATTATTGAAGTCTTTTACAATGAGCATGGGTTATTTATATTTCTGGGAAATACTTCCCATTTAGGGCATGATTCCATTACCTATAAAATAACCAGGTTGGACTAGATGAGGAATTTTCACGTGGAGCTCTGGGGAATGTGTTGGAGCCCTCCGAGAATGAGCTGAGCAGCCCGGCCTGCTGATTTGTTTGAAGAATGGTTTCCATAGCTAAAAATGGTTAAATACCGAGTAGGTGATGTCTCATATAATTTTCAGCTTTGAAATTCTGAGAGTCATTTATTTCTGCCCTCTAAAAGAGTTTGACAACTATATATGCAGGGGTGATTTTCAAAATATTTATTAAAGGTTAGCACTGTCAGTCATAAGATGCTGGCTGGAGTAGGCACCTGGAGGCCTCCTGATGGGCAGTAGTTAACACTTTATTCTGCATTGTGTAGAATGGATGGGGGGTGGTTTACTTAGGACAGTGGTTATTATAATCAGTTCAACCACACATCAACCCTGCACATGTAACATGTAAAAAGCAACTGCATATAATTAAGTGCACTAGTGATATTCTTCGGAGTGCAAAAAGGGAAGTAAAATTCTATACTGAGAATATTCCTTTTCCCGCTCCGTTCCCCTACTTTACTACCCAGAACATAAAACAACAAATGTTTCCCCCTAAAGATCAGCACCCTTAATCATGCCTTTCCCACCCCTTGTTTCGTTTGCGTTTCAGGTTGTCATGTTGGCAATGTACAACTTGTCTCTGGAAGGAAGTGGACGTCAAGGTTATTTCAGATGGAAAGAGGATATCTGCGCTTTTATTGAGAAACATTGGACTTTTTTACTAGGGAATAGGTAAACGTGATTTTTGCAAATCTTATACTTGAACAAAGATGTAAAGAACAAACTGGATTTGAAGCAGCCTAATGCAGCCCTCTAGAGAATTAGAGCACGCATTTACTTGTAACAATTACAGAGAATTTTGTAATCCAGAAAATGTTACTTCTTTTAAGTTAAAAACTTGTTCCTGAGAAATCAAAGTGGAAAGTATACTTTTAAAAGTGTAGGTTTCCATACTTCACTCATCCTACTTCCAGAGGAAGCTGTTGCTTTCTACTGAGCATGAAGAGATTTTGAAGAGTTGGAGAATGTTAAAAGATAGTTTAATTAAATGAGGCTGTTTAATAAGTGGATGAGTAACTATTTAATTTGAGGAGATAGCATTACTACGTCCTTTTAAAATAAGTGCCTTCTAGGAGATCAGAAGGAAAATAATGGCAGTTATTGATTGCACTCATTTAAATTGCTCTTCATTAATAGAGTCTTATGTTATTAGTAATTTGTTTTTATTAACTGGAAGGGATAAACTTTTATACTTTTTGGTATTACAGTACTTAGCAAAATCTGGGTACATTAATACACATGGCTTATTCATTCATTCCTCTTTTCATGATAATGCTTTGATTTTGCTGTTGAGTGCACTTCTCCTTGGTGGCTGCTTTGGTTGATCAGACTTAGGGATGCCCGTGCACAGACATTGAGACCATATGTTTTAACTAAAGGTCCATGTGGATCTAGTAATATCTTTATTGCTATTTATGGATTACTCAGTTTGCAACTGCATTGGTGAATTCTGTTAGAGATTCTGATTGTTAATTGCTATCTAAAGCCCTCCATGAGATTCATAAATCTTGCATATTGTATCAGTGTAGACAAGAAATCACAGCTCTGCTAATGTTGCTGAGAAATCAGGAAGGGCATTTGAAAGGAGGGGCAACCTTCTGAAGGCTTGAGGAAAAAATAGAATAGATTAGTACATTTTTACAAAAGGAGTTATTTTTGTTCTTGAGTATTTTAGTGGTACTAAGAAAAGACTTAACAGAATAAGGTTCTTAAAGAAAGGAAATCTGTTGTTTTAGTTTAATGATTTAGTACTATTTGTGGAACTTAATATGCCCCATTTATAAGGGACAAGAAAGGGAAAAAAACTGATAAAATTAGATCTTGGAATGTTTTCATAATCTCTCAGTGCTGTTCTGTTTAATGGATTGTCTTCTGGAAGAAATTGGATTTAAATTGCCTATTTTTAAGGATATTGCCTATTTTAGAAGAAGTTGTTCATTTTCATTTGTTCATTTCTAGAGTCTGTTCTGAGAGAAATCAGCTAAAGCTTTTTTCTTTTTAATTCGTCTACTGAAAGGCATTAATTACTCCCCAGCTGCTGTGTATGTAGTTTAACCATTAAATTAGTGCTTTTGGCCATATTAGTATATCACTTGGATTATCATTTACTTATTTAAATCAGGTCACTTAAAAAATTACATTCACTTTAAAAAGAAACTTCACACCACCTTGGTAAGCGAAAAACTTATATCATTTGCCATAAATAGCATGAAACTATAAAAATGAATGCACTAAGAATAAAACAACGCCGTTAAGTTGTAGCTGGATCCCATGGCCTGTAGAGGCAATCTGAAGCCTTCTTTCTTGATCAGAAGGGGAGGCTACGTGTGTTAGTGAGAGTTTCAAGCCACAAACTTTCTCCTTGATCTAACCAGAAGGAGTGAAAGAGAATTAAAAATTACTCTGTAATTTCTTGTCATTCATTTTCCTGCTCAGTGCTAACCTTCACTTTGGGAACTCTGCTTTAAACATCGGTGATTGGAAAGTCACCCAAAACCGCTGAGTGTGGTCACTGCACACTCAGATGTCTCTAAGTATGAATATACACAGAATCAATCCTACACCCTAGAGAAGCGGGCTGCAAGAGCATTTACAGTCAAACTTTTTCATAGCCACTAATGATTTTAATTCTGCTACCCATAGAACATACTTTAAATTCTTAACAATAATAATCATTTTTCATTTGCCATAGAAGCTAAGAGAATAGTATACTGTGTAATGAAGTTCTAAATTGGAATACATTTTTTTTCAGATAGTTACAGGTTTTGCTCTTATGACTTAAATTTTTTTATTAAGGTTTAAATGTAAAGGATTATTTAGGGCAAACTTAAATAACTTTATGCACCTGTTGTAGAAACAAAAAGTATACAAAAGCTTTATTATTTTTTAATTTTTTTAAAGATTTTTATTGGGGAGTTGGATGGGAACAGCACTGGGGAATTGGGGGAAGGGGAGCAGACAAGTTGCTGTCCTTTTGTTCTTCAGTCTAGTTGTGGAGGACGTTGCTTCACTGGCCCAAGTTGGCACCATCATTGTGCTCTTCCCGGGCGAGGCAGATCAGTCGCTGGCTTCTGGATGGCCGCTCACTGCGGCTGCTGCCCGCTCACGCTGTCTGCTGGCTACACACGGTAGCCCATGGCAACCCACTGCAGCAGGGGCTGCAGCCCACGCCATCGCCGGTGACTCAGGGCAGCCCAGCTCCAGGTTGAGCTGTTGTTCAGCATCTTAGCTGTAGAGGGCAGTGTCACTGGCCCTCATATGTGGGATCTGAACTGGGGCCCTCTGGCGTCCCAAACCAGCTCTTAACCAATGTGCCACTCAGCTGGCCCTACAAAAGCTTTATTAATTACTACAGTAATTGCCGTTGTGTGTGATCATTCAGTTTGCCTTCAGAAGGCTAGCCTTGAATTCTTCCAGAAGGATAACTTTGATTAGTGAAAAATGCTTTATTCTGTTACCATATTGGAATACTTTTTTATATTACCATATTTCATTAATTTTAAGATGCATAGTATTTCATATATTGACTTCTTTGTCAGCTGGATATATCTTACATGTGATGGAGTATCAAAATTTGAAAGTATAGTAAAACCTTGGATTGTAAATAACTTGGTTTGCAAGTATTCCGCAAGACGCGCAAACATTTCCAATATATTTTAACGTGGTAAATGAGTGATGTCTTGCAATATGAGTAGTTTGATTCTGGAACGAATTATGCTCGCAAACCAAGATTCTACTGTATTCTTATACTTAAAGTCATGTATTATATCGTAAAGTCAATAGACCCTATATTTGATGAACTATGATACAACACATTCATAGTATTTAAAATTCCAAATGTTATATAATGATTCTGGGAAGATAGCAGAGTAGGAAGCACCGGAAATCTGTCTCCCCACCTAGATAACAATTGCAATTGCAGGATCTGTCTTATGTAACTACTTTGGATTTCTAAAATCTGTTGAAGGCTTGCAACTTCCAGGGGAAGGTTTGAACAGTAAATTGCTGTTAATTTCAGTCAGATTCAACTCTTAGCACTTTAGCTTCTGCCCAGCCCACACCTTTCAGCCTGGGGTCAGGTAGCAATGTGCATGTTCCCAGAGCAGCTTGCACACAGCTTATGGGAGCCAGAGTGGACAAAAAAGACACTGTCCTTTAGATATCAGCATCTGCTCTGATTGCTGCTTCTGATCCCAGAGGTGCAGACAAAGAGGTGGGCAGCCATTTTTGTGGTACCTTCCCCATTGTTGCAGGCCCTTCTGGCTGGACCAATTTTAAGGGGATTTAACAGGCTGGCACCTTCTTCTTCCCCCTTCATTTTTCTCTTTGCTCTTGTTTTGGAGCCAGACAATTAAGACTAAAACATTAAAAGCAACTACATATCAGGGGAAATTACAAAGTCACCACACATGCTCAGGGAGGGCGCAGGCTTAGAAATGATCTGAGAAGACCTTAAGTTTATACAACACAGGCTGATCTATGGCACAAGGAGACAGCCTTCAAAGATCAAAAAACAAAAACCAATAAACTCTGGGGAAGGAAGAGAATCTAATTTCCAGAGTTACTATATTATTAAATTCAAATGCTAAATTTTCAACAAAAATATTGGAAGGAGTAACAAGAAATAGCAAAGTATGGCCCATCCGCTCCTGAAAAGGACTAATGGTGGATCTACTAAACAAAGACTTTAAAACAACTGTCTTTAAGATGCTCAAAGAACTAAAGAAAGATGTGGAGAAAGTCAAGAAAATGATGTATGAACAAAATAGAAATATTAAAGAGAAAACCTAAAAAAAATTGAGAATAAACTCTGGAGCTGGAAACTACAATAACTGCAAAGAAAAATTCACTGGAGGGATTCAAAGGCAGATTTGAGCAGGCAGAAGAAAGATTCGGTGAACTTAAGGATAAGACAATGGGAATTATCAGATCTGAGGAACAGAAAAATGATCAAAGAGAACAAAACCTAAGGGACCTGTGGGACACCACCAGCTGGACTAACATTCACATTGTATGAGAAAGCAAGTGGAATGGCTTCCTTTTTGGTCGTATCCTTTGGGCAAGAGGAGGGGTCTTGGAAAGGTTAGAAAAAATTAAGAATCAGGGAGAGGTGCTCTGGGACCAAAACATTGCTGGTGGGAGCTAAAGTGTCATTTGTCCCATCTCAGATAGTGCTTATGCCTTTTTGGGGGCGTTTTCTGGTACACCTTAGTTCCTAAGAATGTTTTTTTCTTTTGCCTCCCTAGAAATATTTTCCAACTGTTCAGCTGGCCTTCTTATTAAAGACTTTTTTAGGATTTCTGGTAATTGACTTATGCTTTCAAGGTGGAAATGGAACAGTTGCCTTTAAAAGAACTTTCAGTAGGAAACTGAACAGTTGACATTTTACATATCATTTAAAAATTTTGTTATATATAATCTGGTATAGTTATTTTGAAGTGCTAGCTTTTCTTTTTTGCCAAAGTTATTTATTCCCCCAAAGTTTAACTGTTTGTGGAACATACTATGTAGTTTTATTCCCACTTGACTACTTTAAGGCCAATGGGAGCAGACTGAGAGATGCATCTGACACCTTGGGTAAAATGAACAATTTACCAGGGCTAATGATTCTCCTGTTGGCTTTCTTTCTTTAAATTTTACTTATTTATTTATTTTATTGGGTAACAGTTTTTAGAACCCAGCAGCTCCACATCAAGTCATTGTCCTTCAACCTAGTTGTGGAGGGCTCAGCTCAGCTCCAAGTCCAGTCACCGTTTTCAATCTAGTTGCTGGGGCCACAGCCCACCGTCTCATGGTGGGAATTGAACCGGCAACTTTGTTGTTAAGAGCACGCATTCTAACCAGCTGAGCCATTTGGCCGTCCACCGGCAGGTCAGCGGCAGCTCAGCTTAAGTCGTCTTCAATCTAGCTGCGGAAGGCACAGCTCACTGGCCCATGTGGGAATCGAACCGGCAGCCTTGTTGTTCAGAGCATGTGCTCTAACCAGCTGAGCCAACCAGCCACCCCGTTTGCTTTCTTGAGAGCTGTGTTTAATTCACATATAGAAGCAACTCAAGTTAATTAAAATTAGCTTGTAGAACTCTGTAATCATGATGATTGTGATGAGAAGTGTTTTATGAGCTTTGTTTGAATTATTTCATTTAATCTCCATAGCAACCTTGAGAGGTAAGTTCCATGATCCTGATTTTAAAGATTAAGAAACTAAGACAGCTAGAAGGTGGTAGAGCCAGGATTTGAAGCCAGACAGACTTCAGGGCCTCTTGACTTATGCTCTGTCCCTACAAAGATTGGAGGTTCTGTAGCATATAATAGGCTAGGAGTCTTAGAGTATACATAGAGTATATTTTCTATATAATGATAGAATTGAAAAGCCAGTAATTTTTAAATTCTTGGACTCTTCAGGAAAAAGACTTCGACGTGGTGGAGCACAGTAGCAGGTTGCCTCAGCGTGGGAAGTCCTATGTACTTCCGTTCAGGTGCTCAAGAATTCGGAGAACCAGGATGGTGGAAACTTGTTCACAACAAGCCCCCGACAATGAAACCTGAAGGAGAGAAGTTGTCTGTCTCTACTTTGAAAGTAAAAGGTACTGTTGTGAGAGCAGTACAAGAGGTGCTAGTGTGACCGAGGCCCAACACGTGTGAGTTTAGGAGACAATCCTGCTTATCAGGCATAGCTCATCTGCCCCAAACAACTCTGCTTGGCAATTTTATTATGATATTTTTTTGTATGCCATAAATAAATATTATATAAAAAATATCTGATAATTTTCTAATCAGATCACCAGGAATTTATAAATTTCCTTTGCTATCTGAAATGTTTTCTATTTTCAATCTGATTTTGTTTTTAAACATTTTATTGTGGAAAATTTTAAACATATGCAAATGTGAAGAGGGTAATATAATGAACCCCCATGTACCTTTCACCTCACTTCACCACTTACCTGCTGGCAATCTCATTTTATGTAGACCCTGGATACTTTTCCCCCCATTCATCACCACCCTTGGATTATTTAGAAGCAAATCCTAGGCATCAACATTGCATTCTTAAATATTTCAGTATGTATCTCTAAGTGATAAGGACTCTTTCTTTTTTGTAGTCTAATTATAATGCCATTTTCATACTTAAAAAAATTAATAACTCCTTAATGGTAACAACATATTGATCTGATTTTTTTAATCCAAAAAGTTTTTAATGAGCTTTTACATTTTTTTAAAATATTGGGAAAAAAAAGTAAAATAGGACTGAAGGGTGTCAAGTCTAGCCTCTGCACCCTCCCGTGCTTTCATTTTCACTCCCCAGAGTAACCACTGTTATCTCTTCTGAATGCTTTTAGAAATCGTCTCTGCACATTTAAGCATTTTCTTATTTTTTCAAAAAACTGTAAATGGGCTCATACTATAATACTTGTTCTCCATTACCCCTGACCCCTGGTGCTTACCAGTATACCTTGGATATCTTTCCATAGCAGTATATGTATATCTACCCTATTTTCTTTTGTTTCATTGCATTCCATTGAATGTCTATATGATAATTTATTAAACCCCTGTTGATGGGCATTTTGGTTACTTCTACCTGTTGTTGCTGTTATTTTAAACAATATTACAATTGTATAGGTGTGTACGTGTGCAATTTTTTATGATAAATTGCTGGAAACAGGTTGCTGTATCAAAAGGCATATTCATTTAAAACTTTAATCAATGTTGCCAAGTTAACCTTGAGAAAGCTGTAATAAAATTTATGTCCTGTTAAAAAGGCATCAAGATGCCCATTTCCCCATATGCTTGCTGAGCGCTATCAAACTTTCACCATCCCAGTAGGTGAAAGATAGTATCTAATTGTTTAAATTTGCATGACAATTTCCTTTTTCTTGTTAAGAGATATCTAAGTCCTAGCTTGGGGCATTCGTGGAACATTTTTCTATTTTGAATGTTGTAGTAGATTCACAATAATAAATTAGCAAAAGACACTAAAGTTGAATGGTTATTTAAAATTTTTGATATTTACTCTTTTCTAGCAGCTTCAAAACCAACTTTAGACCCCATCATTACTGTCGAGGGACTTAGAAAACGGGCAAGTCGCAATCCTGTGGAATCTGCCATGGAATTAAAAGAGAAAAGGTCTCGTACTCAGGAAGCAAAAGACATTAGAAGAGCCCAGAAGGAAGCAGCTGGCTTTCTTGACAGGAGCACTTCTTCGACCCCTGTAAAATTCATCAGCCGAGGCCGCAGGCCTGATGTGATTCTAGAAAAAGGAGAAGTGATTGACTTTTCATCCTTGAGCTCCTCTGACCGCACTCCCTTGACCAGCCCGTCTCCTTCTCCATCTCTGGATTTTTCTGCCCCCGGGACCCCCGCCTCTCATTCAGCCACCCCCAGCTTGCTTTCAGAAGCAGATCTGATTCCAGATGTGATGCCACCACAAGCCTTGTTTCACGGTAAGACTTACCTTTCTTGGGTCTTTTATTTTATGTATGGCCCATGATATAAAAGTGTGTGTTTTCACCTTATGGGCGGTGTGCTCTGCATTTCTTCTTTTTTATTCTCTGCACAGATGATGATGAGATGGAAGGTGATGGAGTCATAGACCCAGGGATGGAGTATGTTCCGCCCCCTGCCGGGTCAGCAGCTTCTGGGACAGTGGTCGGGGGCAGAAAGAAGGTCAGAGCACCTGAACAGATAAAGCAGGAGGTCGAGAGTGAGGAGGAAAAACCTGACAGGATGGACATTGACAGCGAAGACACAGATTCCAACACATCTTTGCAAACAAGGGCTCGGGAAAAGAGGAAGCCACAGCTGGAGAAGGACAGGAAACCCAAAGGACCCAAGTATACCCCTGTGAGCATCTACGAGGAGAAGCTGCTTCTGAAGAGGCTGGAAGCTTGTCCCAGGGCCGTTGCCATGACACCGGAAGCTCGGAGACTGAAGCGTAAACTGATTGTCAGACAAGCGAAGAGGGATAGGGGATTACCACTTTTTGACTTGGATCAAGTTGTTAATGCTGCTCTTCTGTTAGTTGATGGGATTTATGGAGCCAAAGAAGGAGTTTCCCGGCTTCCTGCTGGCCAAGCCACGTACAGAACCACCTGTCAGGACTTCAGAATCCTTGACCGATACCAGGTGAGTTAGCACACACTCTCACACTCTGGGGGTAGGAGTGGAGGTGAGGCAGGCAGCACCACAGAGAAGACACAGTTATGCTGTGACTTTTGAAATCATGAGTAATTTTGGGAGAGAGAAGAAAACAGCGAGAGAGAAAAATACCAAAATTGCTGGACTTTATTTTTTGAAATTGTTCAATATGAATACCCCTTAATACATGTGGTTTTTTTCCCTTTGGGCATTCAAGGCAGAACCTAGGCATTTTCATTGTATCTGTTAGTCCCTGAGGGTAACTGCACATGGTTTGTATCATAGCTTTGATTGACAGTTGTGTTGAGGATATAAGTGTACCAGACCCTGTGTTGAGCAGGATCTAAAGACATGTAAACATCTGAGTGGTTAGGAGACAACATTGAGAAAGAGCAGCCAAGGGATCAGTGTGCTATCAGCGTTGCTTGAGGTTATTCAGTGGAACCCCAGTCTAAGTGTGCTCTGGGAATGATGAATTTCACTCGAACACACCTTCACACAGCAGGAATGAGAGGTCTTATTTTCCTGTATCTTTGCTAACGCTTGCTCTTAACCAGCCTTCAACTAGTTTAGTTACCTGATGACTGTAAAGTGAAATCTTGTTTTTGAGTTACATCTCTTTGATTATAGGTGAGGTTAAACATTTTTCGTGTTTCCTAGGTTGTTTCTCTGTGAATTGCCTATTTGGATTCTTTGCACATTTATCTTGTTTTCTTTGGAAACTAGTGGGCTCTTGTCTTTATTGCCATTGTTCTGACATTATTCAGTGATGCACCATGTCATTGTGCTCAGCATTTGGTGTGTGGGCCCTTTCAATTTGAAACTCCTTGAGTTCTGGAAAGTTTTCTTAATTTCCTATGTTCTACTTTCTCTAGTCTTTTTAGAGCACCACTATTATTTGGATATTGGACCCTCAAGACCAGGGGTTAGCAAACTTTTTCTGAAGGGGTCAGATAATAAATAGTTTCTGCTTTGCCACACGGTCTCAGTTGCAACTATTCAATGCTGCTGTTGCAGTGTGAGAGTAACACGGATAAGACGTAATGAATGAACATCGCTGTGCTCCAGTAAAACTTTGTTTACTAAAACAGGCTGGATTTGGCATATGGGCTATAGTTTGCTGATGACCCCTACTCCAGATGGATCCCTTTAATTTTCTCTTTTTTCTTATTTTTGATCTTTCCTGGGAAGTAGTAACCTCCCTGCCTGCATCCTAGGAGCCACGCAAGAGGGGCCAGGAGCCGACCATTCATCCGGTAAACTTTCACTGAGTTGCCCTGCTTTCAGAACAGTACTTCCACCGTTGGCTGTGTCAGGTGCCCCTCTCTCCAGAATCTTTCTTTGGGGCCTCTCCAGGGAATCTAGTCTTCTACCATGGAAGGAAAGATCATTTCTGGATGTGTGCAGTGGGGGCTTTAACCTCTTAAATAAAGACTCAGCTTTAGCAGGACCTGGTGCCTTCGACTGCTGCACTTTCCTGAGGCTCAGGGTGCAAATTACACCACCCCTGGCCTGTCTTCACTGCTGCCTTAGGTTTGGTTCTTTGGTCTAAGCCATTTGCCACTTATTCATATGCTTTTGTTGCTGTTCACCTGTTCTTTGTTCTTGTGGGCTTATCTTTTTAATCTCTATATTTTATTTTTTTAATTATGGAATGTGTCATACTCATAGAAGAATGCATAGAACATATGGGTATAGTTTAGAGATTAATAAAATAAATGTCTGTGCTTCTAGCTCCTGGGTTAAGAAACAGCATTACAAACACCTGAGAAGTCCTTTGATACACTGCCTGCTCCCCCCAGAGGGAGCCATTCTCTGACTTTTAGTGTTAATCATTCCTCTGCCTTTTTAATGTCTATATCCCTCAACGATATACTTTTAGTTTTTTAAAAAATGAAGTAGGAAGCACAAATCTAGTTGTGTAAGGAAATTGCCTCTTAGATGAAGGTTTCCAGGAGAACTTAAGCTAAACAGTCTTTGTGGGTCATTGTTGTAGATTGAATTTTGTCCCCCAAAAGAATATATTTAAATCCTAACCCCTGGTACTCATGAATGTGACCTTATTTGGAAATAGGCCCCTTGCGGATATAACTAGTTAAGATGAGGTCATACTGGAATAGGGTGGGCCCTTAATGCAACATGATCAGTGTCTTTATAAGAAGAGAAGGGACACAGAGACAGACACACAGGGAGAATGTCACGTGATAACTGAGGTAAAGCAATGCTTCTGCAAGCCAAGGAACACCAACGAGTGCCGGTATCACCAGAAGCCAAGAGAAAGGCCTGGGACACATTCTCCCCCAAGGCATTCAGAGAGAACATGACCTTGCTGACACTTTGGTTTCTGACTTTAGCCTCCAGAACTGTGAGAGACTACGTTTCTGCTGTTTTAAGTCACTCAGTTTGTGGAATGTTGATAAAGCAGCCACAGGAAACTGATACAGTCATGTTCTTGCTGCAGCTTCCATGAGCCCTTCCTAGAGAAGTCAGTGGTCAAGGTCATTAGGAAGTCCTGAGAAACATAAGGCTCACCACTGTTTGAGCTCAGGCAGGGCTGCAGTGTACACCAGAAGTCTGAACCGGAGGAGTGGGTTTCTCTGTGTTTCTTGCCTCCAGTCTGACTTGCTTTTCTCCAGCTTGTCTGAGGTCACAGCAGTTATTTGTGAGGTGAGTGTCCTCAGCTGATCCAGGGAGCGAGCATGGAGGCAGTGCATTCTCAGTGCATTGTGGAGCTAAGCGGCAGGTGAGATTCTGGGTCACGACTTCTTAGAGTTAAAAGATGGTCTGGAGGCTACAGGGACTTAGCAATGATAGCCTCAGTATGTCTACGCCTTGAGTCACACTCGTCACTCTACTGGCTTCCTTTGTGTATGATACTCAATGGTTCCAGGGTCACCCCTCACTGGAGATTCATTTGCCCCTTGTCTGTATTGAATCTCCTGTTTCTTGTGTCCCATCTTTACCTTTTTGTAGGTTTAGTCCCTGTTTTTGGAATAGCACATCCTTAGTGGCTTCCTTAGGAAAGCTGCCTGGGAAGTAAAATTTGAGACCTTCTATGTCTGAAAGGGCTTTGAACTTAAGCCAGAATTCCAAACCAGCATTGGGTAGAGCTGAGAGCCAGTTTAACAACAGTATTAGAAACAAGTAGACAATGGAGCAGTGCTTTCAAATTCTGAGGGAAAATGAGGTTGAACCTGGATTTTTATACACGGCCCCATTATCTAGGTGAGACCTCTGTTGAAGACCCCTAATGTTTTTTCCTTGAGGTCTTTCCTCTCGTCAGAGTGCCCACAGAGGTGTGTTTGTGTCTGAGAACTCTGATTGCCACGTGGGGGAAGGATGATCTTAGCCTTTAGCTTTCATGGTACTCACACGTCAGCTCCGCTCTGCTGCCCTGTCCAGAGCCCTGGTTATACGTCCTCTAGAGATCAGACCTCCAGACTGATGTGGGGATGGCAGCCACTCGGCGGCAGGGAGCTGAGGTGGGATTTGGGGATCTTACTGCTGGTACAGAGCTTTTACCTGTCTGTTAGTGAGCATGTGCCCCTAAGCTGTGAAATTCTCAAATGCGTCTCAGGTTTTCCTCCCCAGTTCGGGAGACAGGATGGCTAGAGGGAGCTGCAGTTGGGTATTCCCTTTCCACAGGTTGATTAGGCTTGGTAAAGCCCCAATGTGCTCACTTTGGCAGCACATAATACTAAAATTGGAACGATACAGAGATTAGCATGACCCCTGTGCAAGGATGGTATGCAAATTTGTGAAGCCTTCCATATTTTTAAGGCATTATGCTAAACGAAATAAGTCAGACAGAGAAAGACAAATACTGTATGATCTCACTTATATGTGGAATTAAAAAAAAAAACCTCATAGAAAAAGAAATCAAACTTGTGATTACCAGAGGCAGAGGGTGGCAGGAGAGGGAATTGGGGGAAGGTAGTCAAAAGGTACAAACCTCCAGTTGTAAGATAGATAAGTACTAGGAATGTAATTTGTAATGTACAACATGATGACTATTGCTAACACTGCTATATGATGTATAGGAAAGTTGTTAACAAGAGTAAATCTTAAAAGTTCTCTTCACAAAGAGAAAATTTTTTTTCTTTTTTTCTTCTTTTCTTTTTATTGTATCTATGTGAAAAGATGGATGTTAGTTAGCTGGACCTATTGTGGTAATCATTTCACAATAAATGTATATCAAACCATCAGCTGTATACACATTAATCTTATGCAGTGATGTATGTCAGTTATTTCTCAATAAAACGGGAGAAAATGCTTCTAACAAACTACTTTTAAAAAAACCCAATAGGTTAGGCTCTGGCAAAATGGTTTCTCTTGAGACAGGCCTTATTCAGAAGAACAGAATACATTGTACTCTGTTGTATTTCAAAATGTCTACTTTTCCCCTCCCCTTGCCGGAAGCATGAGGGGATTTTTCTTTGATCGTTACCTTGAAAACCTGGTAGAGCTCCTGGAAGTAAAACTCACAAAAATGTGCACCCCCACCCACCCCCAGAGATTTTCCTCTGATTTGCCCGCACTTTGCCTCCAGCAATCTGTCAATTGCAGTTTGGATTTTTTTACCTGGCATTTGTTCCCAGAGCTTTCTGTTCAAGGATTTCTGCTCTGATAAGTTGTGATTCTCTGTATCTGCCTGTCCATCTCGCCGATTTTGGGTGCAGCAGTTTGCCCTGCGACCTCAATTCTCTGATGGATTGAAGAAGAGTTGTTGATCCTCAGTTTGCTCAACTTTTTGCTTGTTAGGACGCGATGGAGACTTCTAATCCCCTATGTGCTGGACTGGAAACCAGAAGTCCTCTTATATGCTTCTTTAATCTGGGAAATTCTTCATCATTGCTTCTTTAAATATATTCCTCCTTTATTTTTTTCCTCTCCTTTTGCACTCCTAAATGGATGTTGACACTATTAATTACTTCTTTATGTCTTCCTTTGCCTTTTTGAAGAGATCCTCATCTGTCCCTCACGTCAGT